CAACTTCATCATTTGGAACAGTATGGACGTAACAAAAACCTGGAAATAAATGAAGTGGAGGAAATGCAGGAAGAGGATACAGTATTGAACAAATTGTTGTCAACGTTGCAAAGGAGTTAGGGGTAGCCTTGGAGAAGGAGGACATAGAAGCCGCGCACAGACTACCCAAGACCCGTACGGACAACAGGCCTGCAACCATCGTCGTCCAGCTGGCACGGCGGAAGAAGGCCAAGAAGAAAGGAAAAGAACTGGGTTATAAATATGTTTGGTTTAAGAATGGTGTTAAGGCGAGAAAAACTGATGATTCGAAAGTGATCCAGATAAATGATATTTCTGACCTGGTTAACATTAAGTAGGGCTACTTTATGGCATTTTTGTAGTATTCTTGAAACATTTCATGGGAAAAATTGATTTTGATTGTGTAAATTCCGAAGAAAGTGTTACCGAAATTCATACAATTTCAAGTGAGTTTAATGAATCATGTAAAGTTAATAAATATGGAGAGGGCTTAACAGTCTTTCATTTAAATATTAGATCAATAAGAAAAAAATTGGATTAATTTTGTACCTATTTTAAGGACTCCATAAATATTTTTGATGTAATTATTTTGACAGAAATCTACATTAAGGAACAGTTTTCTGAGCTTTTAAAACTTTTCTGTTTGGATAATTTTAATCAAATTAGCCATCTTAGAAATGAAACTAAAGGTGGGGGGATTTTAATTTGTGTAAAAAATATTTTTCAGGTAATGGATAGTATGCAACAGCAGTAATTTTGAATGCATGTTGATAAGTGTGAAGAATGATGTTTTTAATGTTATCATAATATCTGTGTACAGACCACCATCCAGCAATGAATTAAAGTTTATTGAGGATTTAGATAAAATAATTCAGACAACAAAAGTATATGTGATTATAATGGGTTACATAAACATAAAATATAAAAAATGAAACAAATAACTATGTTCAAGACTACAAAAATATTATGACCCTAAATGGTTTCAAATCACTCATTAATGATTATACTAGGGAGGAAGTTAGAGCTGGAAAATTAAGTCAGACATGTATAGACCATGCATATCTTAGAACAAGGAAGCTCAAAGTTCACTCAGATATCCTACAGATAAAGATATAGGACCACTATCCTTGCGTTATCAATGTCCAGCCTGACAACTCCTGCCCAGCTTATCACACAAACAAACCACAGCAAATTACCAATGAACAGCTGCTGGGACAGGTATTGGGGCAGATGGACTGGAAGTCTGTGGAATGTTTAAATGATCCTACAGAAATTTATAAAAAACTGTACACAAACATGACGAATGCATACAGGGACAGTAGGGTGGATACTAAAATGAACAAATATACAAGACCTAAAAATCCTGGATAACCCACGCTATTTTAAATATGATAAAAGAGACAGATAAAGTTTTTAAATTATTTAAGAACCATCCAAATAATATTCATTACAAAGAAAGATGAACCAGACTAAGAAACCAAGTAAACAAAGAAATATACAAGGAAAAGAGAAATTTTTATCACAAGTTCTTTGATAATAATAGGAAAAACATAAGAAACTCACGGCAGAAAATTAATTCCTTATTAGGTAAACAGAAAAAAGAAAGTATATATGGTATTGTGATGAAATACATGGCAAGAACATCGACAGAGCAAGAAATATGTGATAAATTTGCAAAAAGTTTCACTGAGGGCATTAATAAAGCTATTCACGACTGTTCAATTACAACGATTAACAGTATGCCAGCAAAAGAATGTAGTTCAACATTTTATATACCATTAATAAATAAGGAAAGATTAATGAAATTACTGAATAATATGGCTAGGAAGGGACCAGGGCTGGATGGTATTAGAATTACAGATTTGAAAAAGTATGCAAACCTATTAAGTGGTCCAATCACTAAATTTGTTAACTTATCTCTCAGATATGCAGAAGTACCAGAATCTTAAAAAAACAATAATTAGACCTGTTTATAAATCTGGAAGCCACTTTGATTATTCAAATTATCGTCCAATATCAATCTTGTCATCAGTAGATAAAATACTGGAACTTTATGTAGCAAATTGCCTGACAAACCACTTAGAGAATAATAACATAATAAGTCCCTACCAGTATGCATACCAGAAAAACAAAGATACAAATGAACTATTGGCAGATTTTTCAGATTATTTAAATGGTGTATTGAGCATTGGAAATCAAATTTTAGTGCTTTTTATAGATTTTTCAAAGGCGCTTGACATTTTAAAACATGAAAGAATTGGAGTTGCACTGAACAAGGCTGGCATCACAGGTCAAACCAAGAATTGGTTTATGAATTATTTAAGCAATAGGGAAATTATGGTCAAAATAAATAACTCATTTAGTAATTCGGAAAAATTGAAATATGGCGTTCCGCAAGGAAGTATATTAGGGCCACTCATATATTTAATTTATGTAAATGGAATGTCAGAGATTATGAACAATAGTAAGATATACATGTATGCTGATGGTACAGTTCTGGTAACATCAAACAAAAATTTAGAATATGCAATAAGAGATATACATTCAGATTTTTTAGAAATAACAAAATGGTGCCATGACAATGGATTAAGTGTAAACTGTACGAAATCTAAAATAATGCATGTCCATTCACCTTTCTACAGTTGCAAAGGACCTAGAGTGAAAGCACACTCACATAACTGTTTGCATAGTAAGTCATACTTAAAAGACAAATGTGAATGTCAAACATTGGAAAGCGTTAAAAGTTTTAAATATCTAGGGGTATTTGTTGATCATAATTTATAATGGGACTCTCATATTGCATATATAAAAGATAAACTTAGAGTGTGTGCCTCAAAACTTTATTACTTACGAGACTACTTACCGTTTAAGACGATGAAACTAATTTATCCATCTATGTGTGAGTCACTTCTTAGGTATGGATTAAGATCATGGGGAAATGCATCAATATCAGAATTACGGAAACTACTGACTGTTCAAACAAGAATATTAAAAATTATCACTAAGCTTGATTCTGCTGTTGTCAGTGAAACTCCAATATTGTGTTATCAGTTGACAGGGGTTTTACCAGTGGAAAAGCTGTTCACTTATTTGTTGATAATAGATTATTATTTTTCAAACAGGTTCAAAGTAAAAAATGTGCATAGATAAAACTCTAAGGAAAAATTTTTTCATTGTTCCTACTGTTAATAATAAATACACAAAGCGTACAAGAAACGATTTGGTTCCTACATTGTTTAATAGTTTGCCACAATGTATGAAAGAAATAAAAACATACAAATTATTGAAGGTAAAACTGAAAACATGGTATATGACCGATTAGTTAACGTTTTTAGAAAACTCTTATTTATTGTTATTGTTAAATCATAGTATAATACAAGTTGTGTCTTTTGTTGATTTAAGTTGCTGTTATTCTTAACAGAATTTTCCATATACAGGGTGGCTGAAAAGTAGCTTGCACCCCCCCTTAACTATTCAACCATTTGAGATATTTGAAATCGGTTTGCGGCAACCTTCTTAGATATGAGGGGCTACAATAATTATGGTCAATTTTGAAAATTTTGCCCTTAGGGGTAGCGGGGGTAGGGGGTAGCTCAAAGTTTTCAAATAGCAAGTATAGTCGAGTTTGGTATCATTTTGTAGGTCTAGACGAAATATAACAATTAACATAAAGGAAATAGAAATCGGATCATTAATAACAAAATGGCAGCTAAAAATGATTGAGACAATGGTTATTTAAAGTAATTTTGAACTGCCATTTTGTAATTAATGGTCCGATTTCTATTTACTTTATGTGAATTGTTATGTTTCGTCAAGACCTAACAAATGATACCAAACTCGAATATACTTGTTATTTGAAAATCTTGAGCTACCCCCTACCCCCGCTACCCCTAAGGGCAAAATTTTCAAAACTTACCATAATTATTGTAGCCCTTTGCATCCAAACAAGTTGCCGCAAACCGATTTCAAATATCTCAAATAGTTAAAAAGTTAATGAGGGTTATTTGGATTTGAAACGTTTTAGGGCGCCATTTTGTTATTAGTGAGCCGATTTTGCTTTTCTTTATGTCAATTTTTATGTTTCGTTAAGACCTGTAAAATGATACCAAACTTGACTATACTTGTCATTTGAACATTTTGAGCTACCCCCTACCCCCGCTACCCTTAAGGGAAAAATTTTCAAAATTGACCATAATTATTGAAGCCTCTCATATCTAAGAAGGTTGCCGCAAACCGATTTCAAATATGAAAAGTTAAGGGGGGGGGGGTGCAAGTTACTTTTCAGCCACTCTGTATATATATTTTATCAACTGTTAAAAATATAGTTCCTGTTTTATTATATGTTATAAAGTTTGTTTCAGCTGTTATTATTCCTTGTTAGACATCTATTTGTTTGTTAAATGTTTGTAATCTGAAATTATATACTCATGTTAAATAATTTTAAGAAGATTCCTTGCATATTTGCATTGCACTTGTTCTTATTCTTTTACATTTAATTTATTTTTCTACAGTTTTTTTGCCCCTTCAATATTTAAATTGTTCGTTATCATGTACAAATGTTATAAGCCAAATTTGTTACTGTTAAAGAAGTAGGAAATATATTGTTGTACAGTTAATAGTTTACACTGACTCAAGAACAAGATAAAGATGGAAAAGACAATTAGTATTGAAAGAAACGCTGCGGACAAGCCTTTTTTTTTAAGGCTTATGCAGTTTGGTATTGTAAATTCATTGTATATGTGCTGTACTAAGTAATAAATAAATAAATAAATATATAAATAAATAAATAAATAAATAAATAAATAAATAAACAAAAAATAAATAAATAAATAAATAAATAAATAAATAAATAAATAAATAAATAAATAAATAAATAAATAAATTCTATTCGTGGATAACCTCAGAACTATTAGGGATATTAAGGAGATATTCAAAGAAAAATTGGAGAACAGTTACAAAATACTCACGTTTTATTACAAAATTCTAAATAAAGAGTCTTGTTTAAACTAACAGCTAGTATTCAACAGGCAAATTATCTACAACATCATACATATATAAAAATATTTACATAGTTTTTAAGTCACAAACTGTTGCAACATCATCCTTAGTATTAAATTTGGCATTTAAAATGGCTCGTTCATGATAGCCAAGAAATGTTCTTCAGCCATTTTCTCCGCTTCCTTTCATGAGCAAATCATCTTGAAAGTAATAGGACAATACCTATAGAGCAAGATAACAAGATTTCTGTAAATCAAAGCTAAAACAGCCTAGTAAACGTATCCACCGTCCTCTGAATACTGTTGACCTCCCGTTGCTGGGACGCCGTACGATGTAGAGGGAGATCCTCCGGATGATCCACCACCTCCCCCACTCCAACCAGCAGATCCCCCGCTAGATGGGGCACCATATGATGATGATGGCTGTGATGGTCTACTACTGCCTCCACCTCCACCCCCACTCCATGATCCACTCCCAGCTGAGGGTGGCCCATAACTACTTGAAGGTCTTGAAGATCCTCCACCACCACCGCTCCAACTCGACCCTCCTCCGTTGGTAGGTGCTCCGTAGCTTGAGGAAGGTCGCCCACCACCTCCTCCACTCCAACTGGAGCTAGTGCTTGGAGCTCCATAGGAACTGGAAGGCCTGGATGCTCCACCGCTGCCTCCCCCACTCCAACTTGATCCACCTCCGTTCGCACCCGATGCCGGAACGCCATATGAACTGGATGGTCGAGATGCACCCCCACCCCCTCCACTCCAGCTAGAACTGCCCCCACTAGCAGGTGCCCCATAAGATGATGATGGCCTTCCACCGCTTCCCCCACCTCCACCGCTGCTCCAGCTAGAGCCTCCTCCGTTTGCTGGCGTTCCATAACTTGTTGAAGGGATGCCAAAGCTCACAGACTGAACGATGGATGTGCTTGTAGATCCACCTGATGGAGCTCCATAGGATGAGGAGGGTCTTGATGCACCACCACCACCACTCCAGCTAGACCCCCCACCTCCTCCGCTGCTCCAACTAGCGCCACCAACCCCACCTCCAGGTGCTCCGTAATTAGAAGATGGTATAGCAGCAGGTGTTCCATAACTACTAGATGGTCTGGCTCCTCCTCCGCCACTAATATATCCCCCTCCTCCACCTCCACTCCAGCTAGCACTACCACCTCCAGCTGCTGGGACACCGTAAGAGGAAGATGGTGTGGCAGCAGGTGCTCCATAGCTACTTGATGGTGCCGCTCCTCTTCCTCCCCCACCTCCAGAACTCCAACTTGATCCACCACCTCCAGCTGCAGGAACACCATATGAAGATGATGGTGCTGATCCTCCACCTCCACCACCACCACTCCAGCTCGATCCTCCCCCTCCGGCTGCAGGAACTCCATACGAGGTTGATGGGGCTGACCCTCCACCACCACCACCACCTCCAGCACTCCAGCTCGATCCTTCACCTCCGGCAGCTGGCACTCCATAAGACGAAGATGGCGTGGCAGCAGGTGCTCCATAGCTACTTGATGGTGCTACTCCTCCTCCTCCACCACCAGCACTCCAGCTTGATCCTCCACCTCCAGCTGCAGGAGCACCATATGAGGATGATGGGGCTGATCCTCCACCACCACCACCTCCAGAACTCCAGCTCGATCCTCCACCTCCGGCAGCTGGTGCTCCATAGCTACTTGATGGGGCTGCTCCCCCTCCTCCGCCCCCAGCACTCCAGCTCGATCCTCCACCTCCAGCTGCAGGAGCTCCGTATGAGGATGATGGGGCTGATCCTCCACCACCACCCCCTCCAGCACTCCAGCTCGATCCTCCACCTCCGGCAGCTGGTGCTCCATAAGAGGAAGATGGTGTGGCAGCAGGTGCTCCATAGCTACTTGATGGGGCTGCTCCCCTTCCTCCACCCCCAGCACTCCAGCTCGATCCTCCACCTCCAGCTGCAGGAACTCCGTATGAGGATGATGGGGCTGATCCTCCACCACCACCCCCTCCAGCACTCCAGCTCGATCCTCCACCTCCGGCAGCTGGTGCTCCATAAGAGGAAGATGGTGTGGCAGCAGGTGCTCCATAGCTACTTGATGGTGCTGCTCCCCCTCCTCCACCACCAGCACTCCAGCTTGAACCTCCACCTCCAGCTGCAGGAGCTCCGTATGACGATGATGGGGCTGATCCTCCTCCACCACCACTTCCAGCACTCCAGCTTGATCCTCCACCTCCAGCTGCAGGAACTCCATATGAGGATGATGGTGCCGATCCTCCACCTCCACCACCAGCACTCCAGCTTGATCCTCCACCTCCAGCTGCAGGAACTCCGTATGAGGATGATGGTGCTGCTGCTCCTCCTCCACCGCCACCACCAGCACTCCAACTTCCTCCATTACTGCCAACTGCAGGGGCCCCATATGACGATGAAGGTGTGGCAGCAGGTGAGCCGTACGATGATGATGGAACTGATGCTCCTATAGTGCTGTATCCTCCAACACCACTAGATGGTGTGCCGTAGGATGTCGACGGTATCGCTGAAGAGCCTCCTCCACTGTAACCTCCACCTCCACCACCGCCGCCACTGTATCCTCCACTTCCTCCACCACCATTACTGTATCCTCCACTTCCACCACCACCACCGCTATATCCTCCGCCACTACCGCCGCCGTTTCCTCTGCTAGGTGGTCCATATGATATTGATACGGATGCCGTGGGTAGGTTGTAGCTTGTAGATGGTGCTGAAGCTCCTCCTCCAATCGTGTTGTATCCACCTCTACCTCCTCCTCCACCTGAAGATGGAGCGCCATAAGAAGTAGAAGGAACAGATCCACCGCCACTGTATCCACCTCCACCTCCACCACTCCAGCTAGCTGTTCCGCCACTGCTGGGGGCGCCGTAGCTGCTGGAAGGTGCACCACCTCCACCACCGCTGGATGGAGCTCCATAACTACTTGATGGCACTGATGGTCCTCCTCCTAGTGTGCTGTAGCCACCAGAGCCGCCACCCCCAGCAGGGGCGCCGTAGCTAGATGACGGCACGGGGGCCGGGGCTGCTGGGACACCGTAGCTTGTAGACGGTGGTGAAGCAGCTCCTCCTCTAGGATATCCCCCTCCTCCCCCACCGCCTGGGTATCCACCTCCAACAAGCGGTGCTGAAACAGAAAAGTTTATATGTTACAATTTTATATTACATAGTTTTCAAGATAATTGTCACTTAGTAATGCTAAATCGTCGTGGTAACACTATACTGGCAATACCTGTTACCTAATATAGATACTGTAATCATGATTGATGGGAATCGGAGCCACGACTACCGGTGGCCCTAATTAAGGACCAAATCATTCACCCTTCATTAGGCTTCAGTTCTTACACTAAATAGCAATGAACCCGATAATCCCACTCACCAAAAATACTTGGACCGAGGGCAAGAGAGAGCGGCATTTTATCATACAAAACCAATCTAAAGGTTAACTTATTGACAACATGTTCAACCATAAATGACGATTATAGTGTTCACAACCCTTTTACCTCTTCATTAACCGTGGCAATAGTAAAGGCGCCAATAATAGAATTCTTCCTAAAAGGACCCAATATAATGTATTTTTATTTGTTAGTTAAAAAAGGATTATCTCTTGAAGGAAAAACAACATTGAATACGAAAAAAATACAATGCTCTTTCAATGATGATTTATAAAATTGATTTGTTTTCAACAAGGTTTCTTTTACAAATACTTTATATTTGTATATAAGAATAACAATAAAACATGGCATTTTTAAATTCTTTCTGTCTTATAGTACGGCAATTTAACCTGCATGATTTGACTAGTACAGTATTATAAAACTACCGTTCTTACGCCATACAACAGAAAAAATAGGTTTAAAAATATTCCCAGCACAGCAAAAGCGCAGACTGAGGACATTTTCATTTACCTCACTTGAGCTGATCTTTATTAAAATATGTTCTTGAAAATATGAAGCTCATCCCCCTAATTTATATTACCTCAAGATTTTATGGGAACTTGAGTTTGCTGCCTCAGAGAAACATAAAGATTATTTTTGATTAAATGGGAGTTATTTTTGACCAAAAACATAACTATAAACAATCAAACTACACAAATTTACTCATTCTCCTTAAGAATAAAATGGGAATTTTACATCCAACGTTTTTTGAAAATTTTTACTTAACCATTAACTGTACAGCAACACTTTTATATAGTAAATTATTTGTCCTCGAGCTCTACATAATGGATTGGAGAGAAATTGCATACCTTTACATTTATACCTTTTAGCGAATTTCCCTATAGGGAAGTAGCTATTACCGTAGGTCTCATGGTAAGACTTAGGCCCGGGACCGATTTACTTTTTCATTTTAATGTCCCCAGAGGCCAAAAACACCATTGGTTCAAATTTTTATATATGTATATATATATATATATATAGGTATATATATATATATATATAGATTTATATATATATATATGTGTCCGTGAACACGATAACTTGAGTAATTTTTATCCGATTTTGATGAAATTTGGTTTGAAGGTGTAAGGCAGGATAAACTTGAATGAGTTCGCGATCCAGCATGATCGGACCATGGGAACAGGGTTTTATGGGGGGTTTTATGGGGTAAAAATTGGTTTTTCTCACTTTTTACCCTCAAAACACAAAATTTCCCAATTTTTCTCTAAACCTTCTTAAAGAGCTTAAAAAAACAAACAATTCAGTATATCAAAGTGTTTTTGTACGGTTATTGGTTACGGATAAAACTAAAAAAATTGTAAATTTAAAATTCCCATGTTATTCTTATGGAGAATATTGTAAAATGTTGTAGTTTGCTTGTTTATGGATATATTTTGATCAAACTTGGCAAATTTATTTATTTTATAGTAAGTTATCAATATTTTACTAAAAACACACTACTTTGTTAGTTTCCTTGTAGCAGCAAACCTAGGTACTCGTTAAACCTAATGTTATTTAAATAGATCAATTGAAAATCAATTCTGCCAAATGGAAATTCGCTTAGACGGCAGGTTTGCTGCGGCGGGGGTATTTATTATTACCTTTATATTTTGGGGGCAAAAGTGGGGAAAAATTGTTTACCACATAAAACCCCTCATTGAACCTTGTTTCTATGGGCCGATCGTGGTGGTTCCCGACATCATTCGAATAAAGTATAGGTTTACACGTTTCTACCAGCGAGCACATAATAATAATAATAATAGAGAGGACACGGCGTTTAACCAAATGCACTGAAAGTGTGGCCAAATCCGCCATCTTGGTCCGTCATACAGCCTGAATCCAAGACCCGCGAGCTCAGTTCGCATTAAAAACCCCGCGACAAATACACGATCATAAACAACATTAATAGTGGACAAAAAATTCTGAAATTTTGCACACTTGTAGATATGATACTGAGGAAAACGATGGTGTTAATATAAAATGATTAGTTATGATAGTAAATTGAGTTATAAATATGTTTAATACTTATGTAGTTTAATTTTTCAAATTCAGACATGAAAAAGTTGTATTGCGAGGAAATTTTTTATTTTTTGGTCAGAGAAATTTCGTCAGCGGGAAAGTTGTGGATAATTAACCAAATTTAACTATGCGATTCACCAAAATTTTTTATCATGATCGGTTTCCAAAAAAATCAGGTACAAAAGGGATCCATTGCCGCTGCTTCGCGCCACGCCCGCTGCGCCGCCGGCCGTCTTCTATACATTTAGCGTGCAGTGTTTTAATGTTTTATACTGTTGTACTGTAATATTGTATATATTAAACAATTTTCAAATATATTGTCTATGTAGAATTTTCAACCGTTTAGCACAACTTATTAAGGACTAATTAGCTTTCAATATCATCCAAGATTAACTAAAGATAATTCTGTAAGTTAAATTAATCTTCCCAAATATATTTGTAAAATTACACTCAATTTATTGTCCCAGAAAAATTACAGTCTTATTGAGATGTTGCCTGATTTTATTTTTGTGAAGACTTTTGCTACTTATTTTACAGTAGTAGCGAACTGTAACATTGAAATATTTTTGAGCAATAATTTTAATTAGGTACTAAACAAAAATGATTTTTGTCCATATTGTTTCATATCCTGAGAAATGTGTACTATTTGGAAACAAATTCACACCTACACATTGTCCAAGTACTTTGTTCAAGTCCTCAATTAGACTGTTTTCCTTTACACTAATATCATTAACTTTATATCTACGCTATTCTCATCAAGCATAGCAGACGACTAGCGCGCTGCACACGCCGGGACTACTGTCGGGGAAATAAATATGTGCACTCGAGTTTGAGCCTAAATATCTCTTGAGTTGAATTATCCGATTTTGTTGAGACAAAAATTAAATATAAGCTGGTTTAAATACATTTTACGTGGTAACAATTAAAAAGAATTTCCGTTTACCAGAAAAATTTATATAGTTGAAAGATCCTAAAAAGTACCGATTATTAAGAAACTATGCACTAACACTAAAGTTTAAAATTTAATTGTAAACAAACCACTCAGCCAATCTTTCTGAAATTGTTATGGCTTATTGGTAGGTTTATTGTTAACAGTTCCATGCATTTTAAAATTTTTACTCACAATAGTTTTTATGCTGATGTTTATTTTTTAAACGTATACTAACATATCGTTAATAAGACGCTAAAAATGTCGTTCAAAATGCCATCGTGTTCGTCGTGACACAAGAAATAACACCAATATGACAGATTTATAATGCGAACAAAGATGTCTTTAAACAGATACAGTATATATTTTTAAACAAAAATTTCTCCCGCGATAAAAAAAAATCGATTTACTACAGTAAAAACAATTGATTTACTTTAAGATATTTCCAACAATATACTAATACGACAATGTACTTCCAGAAAAACCTAAGTAATTTTTATACAAAAGTATTTTTACATTTAAACAAAGCCTATGTAAACAACACTGACTCGAAGCATAGCAGACGACCAGCGCACTCGCCGGGACTAGGCTAGGGCCGCCATCTTTGTCCGTTTCGTCGGCTAGTCAGACTGCCACGTTCCTGCGCTCCGAGTAGCGCTTCTATTTTGTTATGTGTTCGCTGGTTTCTACCAAGTTTCGTCCAAATCGAATGTTTTTACTCTGGTTATAATGCTAACAGAAACACAAAACACACACAGATAATGTATATGAATTTTAATAGATGTCATCTCCAGCATCTGGGGACATCAAAACGAACAAGTAAATCGGTGTAGGGTCCATGTCCTAACATGAGTCTAACGGTAATAGCTAATTCTCTCTGCTTAACTTAAGTCCCAGTACTGGGTAGTTTGGTGATGAATCTCTCAAATGTTCGCCATAATCCCGATTTAACTTGTAACCGGTTTGCCACCTGAACAGTTTGGCTACGGAGATTGTGACGATGTCTTGCATCTCCTCTCACCCAATCTGTGCCAGTCTGTTGGAGGGTTTCACTTGCTATACACAGTTCATCAATGAACACAACACTCGTGAAAGCTGAACTGATCCCGTGGACAACTGACACATCACATAAAACTCATACAATAGTACTATTGTGGAATCATTTTACAATTTTTGACAGATTTTTCGGAAATTACTTGTCTAACACAGTGAAGTTAAAATATTGTGTTATTTTCATTCGTTATATGTGCTGTACTTGTGTTTTTGAATGGGGTAACAACGAAGATGGAAAGAATATAGTTCTCTGATGTGTGGAAACACTGTGAATAGTAAATTATAAAAAATACTGTAGAGTTAACTATTACAATAGAGTTTAACAACAAGACTGAAATCAAAACAGTATGACAAGGCCCAAACTATGATGTCAAAACGGGAATGTTATCCATCCTGTGACGCCTTGATGCAAGGACCTTACATAAAATGTTTCAGCTTCAACATCGGCACCATATTGTTACTTCCATCATAATAAGTGTTCACAGACCAATAAAAATATCGTCTCTGTAAACTATGGGTTACAATATGCGCAAGAGCGATGAGCCCAGAGCATGCAAAATCATACAATGTATTGTCTGTCACCTATAGTGGAAAAAATTCAAAAGCCTTAAAAGTGTTAAGAGTATTGCCTTGGCTAGTACTCATAGGCGAACCACCCAAACATTCTCAATTGCATTTACAGTTTGGTACATTACGGCATCGGAAGACGAATATTACAGCTTCCTCGTTGTATGGCGGAATGACGGGAGAAAACATTCACAGATTCTCCTAGCTGGGTTCCACAGTACCACGGTACCACGGTACCACGACAACAAACCACGACCCGGACAAACGGGAGGAAAGCGTCTTTATGACAACACATTTCCGTAAACGTGCGCTACCGCAGCCTCCTCATTCGTGACCTCGGCTCGTTACGTACAACTACAACTACTGTATTTAGCAATGTCTATTTAAAAATAATCACAACAAGACTCCAACGGAGATTATGATAAAACGCTTGTCATTCGCCTATCATCAATGGTTGTGAAACCAAGGCATTCACAGCTATAGTTGACTTAAGCGTACTGATCTTGTAACAGGTATTACTGTAAACCGGCAGTACTTCGAGTATATTGTTAATAGTTCAAATTTCAACACCAAAACTTTATAACAAACAGTAGTAATTTAATATAACAATGACTGATCGAATACTAATTAATTGTATACCAAAATACAACGACCAATTGAGACAGGATTTATACCTACTTTCTAGTAAGGGAATTACAAATGACAAGGATTTTGAAAATTCATTTTGCTCCTTTGATTGTAAATGTGGTCCGAGAATAGACTGTGGAACAAATAAAGCGAAGGAGTGCTAAATAATGAAGGGGTGGATTTGTTGGATGAGTGGTTCAAAAGCAGATTCAGCCAATTAGAGGAAGTTAACACAGTGGAGGAGTAATTACAGTGTGAAAGATAAATGTCTGAACAGAACACACACTTGACCTACTGCTGATTTAGGATTTAAATATTTGGACAATTAGTTTATTCAATCTTTTAAATTTAATGAGGTGTTACGTGCATGTGTATAATATGTTACATCATAGAGACAGTTAAAACAAAATAGTGTAGTATAGGTCATTTGTAGTATATATGCTACGAAAAGTGATCTTATGTGTTATATAGAAATTATAGATAGCTTTTTCTTTCTTTATAAACAAGGTGATTGTTTTTTTCAATTTTCAATTTCCTGTGTTCTCCTCTCTTTTAGACTTCCACTTTTGCGTGGAAATTTCTGTTTACAATTGTTTTACAGTGATTGGTAATACAAGTTTATTAATATGCAACTAACTAGTTTGGTAAAGTTAAAAACAATAGGACGTTCAACTTTTAAATGTTTAGATCGAGTGTTTGTTTACATGTTTTACCTACGCAGTTTTTTTAAGTAGCTGTTTCAGTTCTGTTTAGGATTGAAAAGTTTCATATAACAGCATTGTTTACTTACATAACAGCATAGTTTTACTTGAAAACACGGGTAACGGACCAATGAGGTTCAAGGATTGAGAGGGAAGAAGTAAATTTGTAATACTTCGAACTTCAACTAATCAGCTGTTTGCCAAATTAATTGTTACCGGTAAAACGATTGGTGCAATTAGTTATTGGTACAATGAGTCGTTGCATCAGTGTCAGTGGCAATGATTGGTTAAACGAAAATTCTCTTTTTGAGTCGTGATTATTAGTACACTCGTAGGAGTTTTTAAGATAGAGTTTTTTTTTTATATATATTTACGTTTTTTAATATATTTTCTACGTGTCGTTAACACTATTTTTATGCGATCGTTGCGTAAAGTACTATTAAGCTTAATTGTAATAATAATCATATATTTTCCACAGATAATTTATGACTATCCTATGAAATCTGTCATGAATTTGAAAACAATCTTATAAACTAAAATATTTAGGATTTACAAAAACATACTTAACCACAGTTAACTGTACTTAGAGATAAATTTTTTTTGATAAATCCGTTGACAAATGACATATTTTGAGAGTATATTAGCGGTTGATCCATACACGTAAAATTGTTTTACCAAATAAAAACACATAAATTGGCATACCAATGATTATGTTTCGTGCTTTAATCTAATCAGGAAACAATAACACGACTAGGATGTACATTTAATTACCATGTTGGGAACTATTCGCAGCGAGCGCACTACAGCAAGGCAGTTTATGGTGCGAGACGACGACAGTGTTCTGTGTAGGCGTGCCAGACCTCACGTGGATATTGGACACGGAATAGACATGCATGAATGCTAGATATTTCTCAGTCAACCATTTTCAAGTGCTAACAATTTAAGAGTGAACACAATTTATTGTGCAAAAAGTAAAATTTACGTTGATCCCTGTGCGTAGTAGTATCAATTTATAATCTGGGCTATCTTTACAAAGAATTAATCAAAAATAATAACTTCGCTATGTTTAAGGTTTACACAAAATGATGGGGTCACTTACAGAGAAAAACAACTTTTTTTTTAATCTGCGTCGGTAATAGAGTAAGCCTTTGTATGCAGAGAAATCCACCTTTGGTGAAAATGTTGTTAATGTCCTTTTCATCCGATTGAAGGAATACAGGGCTGCTGGAAGTACTAGACGTAATTGGGTAAAAGTGTGATTAGAATCATTGTTTCTTTCTATGTTCATCAATAATGATGATGATAGTCTATATAATATTCAACCCTCAATTATCAAACACAATTGAATAATCGTTCAAATGAGCAATTAAACAAAATTCAAGTAGCTACAAACCTAAGCCCGACACTTAATATTTTATTATAGGTCTGAAATGTTTTGAGTAAAATTAGAAACCTCAGTCCCTCAGTTGTCGTTGGGGGGTTGGACTTTGCTTTGCATTTAGGTTTCTGGTTGGAAAACTATTATTTGAGGTAGCAAGGTAATTTAATAATTAGCTCAACTTAACATGTCGTTACACCGTATGTTAAAGACAACATCGTCGACAAGAGAGGAACTCACTAGAAATGCTATGGGGTATTTGTCGACTGTACGGTGCTATGAATGAGTTAGCTGAGGCAGAGGTGGTGAAAGGTGATGTGGAATCAACCAAGATCACGGCCAGATCTAAGGTAATTTGTCGTGAAAGTGCGAGTGGCGCCTACACTGCCTCACGCCGAGGCTAACATACATTGACTGGTCGTCTACGGAACGTGATAACTGTGGACGATAAATAATATCTATGGACTTATGGATGAATAATCTATTCTTGCAACTTGAATTACAAGTTTTAACAACAGTTATATAAATCTTGAATTTGAAAATTTATTAGGTTCTTTAACTGATGACTTTAGTATTGTAATAGCCAAAAATGTCAAGTGACGAGTGGTACTAACGATTTTTAAAAGAAGCAGAACTTATTGTCAATGATACCAATTTGGCAAAACTAAGAACCAGCAAAGGTAATACCTAGAAACAATAAACATTTCGCAAACAATACAACCATAAGTATGGACTATTTTCTACTGTCCAAATTAGTTTATTTAGAGCGGTTTGGGTGGGAACAGATCCAATCTCGTCATCTCGTCACTGTTGTTGGAAGACAAAGACTCGGAAGAGTTTGTGAGAAATGATTGCACGCGCGAACGTAGTCCATTGTGTCAGTTAAGCCTTATTAACTTAGGCCTCTCAATTCGGTCCACAGTCTTACTAACATCGCCTTGTATTCGTTAATGAGCATGTTTCATAATATATTCTAAAATAAATAATAGAATTGTAAGAATTGATGAAATGTTTAAAGACAAAGAAGTTTGGGTGGATTGTTACATAAAGATATTTTGAATATAATTCGTCCAACTCATACAGGGCTATGTATCCCAAACTTTGCATACTAGAATCAAGAACTTTAAATTAGATTAAATGTCTATATTTTTTTATGTATTTATTCAATTGAGTCCTAAGAAATGCAACTTTGACACTGCAAGTGCACGTTTTAGATGGAAAATTGTGAAAAAATAAATGGATATGAATGTTAAGCAAAGAGCGTGCAGAGACTATCACGAGATACGAGATGGTGACAGAGCAATGAGAAACATGACAATTACCTTCTCTCTTGTGTACTGCTGCTGCTGCTGCTAATGTAGTCGTCAGCACCACCTGCACAAGGGAAGATGTGATTAGCAGCTGATCATACAACTCTCCTCAGCACATAGTGGGATAAAGTGCAACTGATGGATTCTTAGTATATGCAACACGATATCAGTAGCTTAAACTGTACTTAACCGGTATTACATGGTGTTGACAAGATCTCTAACTAGTTTTACGTACAGAGCAATAGTCCATTGATTTCATTAGAGCCATAAAAACTCTATAATATGTTGCATGCAGTTTATGTTTATGTTGTGTGTTGTGGCTGGATTACTTCCTGACTTGCATGCAAAGTTAATGGGACAACCATCATCCCAGACTGCACAGGGGATAATTCTTTGAATACGCACAATGGTATACATAAATAGTAATACATACATGATTTTAAAATCGAAAGCTCTGATGATGAAGAATTTATAAGATAAATGATTTGATAAGCTTTAGCAGGGTACATACACACCGGAGCTGTAACGCCATGTCAGATGTATCGTGTCGGTGTCACACTGGTCAATCAGTGCTTCCTATGTTTGCGGCGACCACGACAATACCTGTGTCTATGTTTACATTAGGTACTGTTACCTTACGAGGTAACACTTCCAATCTCAATTTAAATTGACCCGCAGAAAAATATGACACGCACGAGAGTCCAAATTCAATTTCTTCATACAAGTCTCACGTGAAACACGACATTTGAGTATGTCTTCAGACTGAAATACCAAGAAATAGGAAAACTTGTTGATTCACTGTAAGCGCTAATAATTTGTAATCTTACTAATATTATAAATGTGAAAGTTTGTGTGTTTGTTTGTTTGTTTGTGTGTTTGAAGTTCAATCACGCATAAACCACTGGACGGATTGGGCTGAAATTTGGCATGATGATAGCTTACATTCCCGATTAACATATAGGCATATTCTTATCTCAAAAATCCTTTCGGGCTCTGCCCCAGTGGCTCTGTAATTCCCCATGTTAACCTTATGAGTATTCATATTTAAAGGGAATTAAAGAATTTAGTCAGCTGTTTCAAAAAAAAAGTTGGTTCTATGATATGGAAAAGCATTAAAAAGTTATAAGATTTACCAACAGGGTGCAGCGCTATATTTTTTTGCATTTATGAAAACAGCTAAGCAGCAATAAAAAACTGTGATTCGCAATGAGAACTGTCAAAGTAGGATTGTTTACAGTTATGTTTATGTTTTTCATTTCATGAATAATTTGTGATATTTTGCGAATTGTTGATAATTTATTTTTCTCTATTGTTAAGGTGAAGTGGTAGAACATTATGGCTATGGTAGATGTGTAATACTATAGAATACTGTAAATTTAAAAAAGCAAATTTTATCAAACTGTGTACTCCCTTATTGCAAACGCAAAGCTTGAGTATAACTGCAATAAGCATTTTATACTTATATTCCAACCCCGTACGAAGGACGGGTACTCTGCTAGTATTATATGTGTTTATTCAGGAGGTAATGATTTATCTGATATATTCAGTTGAACCCTAAGTGTCCCCCGTGATAAAATATTATTTGATGTACTTCAAGTAAGCCGTGTATAATATTTGGGATAAACGAAAAATAAAACCTTTTGGTGGAATTTTAAAGAGTTAAAGAAAATCTCATTTAAAAATTATTGGTCCCAACATACTCTGAGATTCCTCAAATACAATTTAATTTAACAATAATGAGCTATTGCATGAACGAAGACCTTTCTTTCGCAGGTTTGTGCAAGACTTAAGGTACAATTTGCTGGCAGTTTGGATGGAAGAGTTGGTCGTCACCCAGAGCCAGGCTTATAGGAAAACCAGATGTTTCTATATTGTGCGAGCAAATTACACTGATGGGTTCTCTCGCAGGGTCCTGTTACCAATAATGTCCCAGACACCTCTCCCTCTCCCCGTACACACACACACATACACTCACACCCACACACACTACTCCTCGGCTACCTCCAACATTCAACACCCATTGCCCCTTCTATATTGGGGTAACGAACATACAACAACAACAATCATACTAAAACACTATAATGACAACTAAAAAAACCTGCCTACTATTAGCTGATCTTAACTAGTAATAATTATGAATAATTGATTTATATTAGTAATTAATCATTAAAATTGTAGTCTCGATACTAATTCTTCTTTAACATTAAGTGAAATTCATTTGAACTAGTTACCATACCTGGGAGATGTTATTTTCCGTTACTTAATTATTTTGATCCATATTTAATTTACTATTATCATCGATGCATTGTCTTATTTGTATACAAGAAACAACCGATTGTGTAGAAATACATCTGAAGCACAAAACTTTACATGAAAAAGAAGTCCACAAGTTTAATTAATTTCGGTGATTTGTTATTGAGAACATAAATAATCTGTAATAATGGCAACCAATAACTAAATGTGGTACATACACTATACATGTACAAGTACTGAACTGTACAATTTGTGAGTAACGGGTTTAGTGGTCCAAACAAACGTCATGTGGTTAACAGCATTAACAGCAAACTCTAAAGACTAATTTGAGTAGTAATATTTAAAACGACATTCTCCTTTGCGTAACATGACGTAACAGATGAATTATATGACAGCGACATTTTGTGAGACCCGGTAGTTCTTGGAAACTTTAAATTCCCTAACGGCTAGGTTGGTTAGTTATGAAAATTTAATTGTGATGACAACATTTTGACGACACACAATGTTGTGAGTGTTAGGTTATTCCGAGAATTCATTTTGGAGATGACTTCAATCCTGTTGAGTTTTTCTCGGCCGTTAATTTCCTACAATGTAATGCAGTGGTTTACAGCACCTACGGCCTCGGCTCAATCATACTTTGCGGTCTGTGGTCGTTTAGATATAAGCCTTAGAGCATTATAGCTTTTTATTGCACTACGTGGGTCCATAATCCTTGATTGACAGTTGTGTTGATTTTATAGTTTAATTAATTTGATAATTTTTTTTTAAATAGTAACAGATTTCTTAAGTTATGTAAACAAATGTTGAATTACCTGAAATAATGTGTTTTTGGATAGCAGTAACAAAATGTAAAAAACTATTTTCCACAAATTATTTATGTTAGTTGTTGGGTTTGTTGGACATGTATCAGTTCGTAACCACAGGACGTTAAACTAACTGAACTCTGTCGTCGTATAAACGCATTTTGTGCAGTATTCATTGCTATTGTAGCAACTGGTTATGCACTTGTCATACAATAAACAGTAGCAGGGGAAAGATAGCAGGAGCTAGTTAAATTAGGAAGAACTATTTTCAGTTTCAGGGCTGATGATTGTTGCAGCCTAGGGCTAAGGCATCGAGAGAGAGATTCATCTAATGAAATACACCCGCCGGAACGGTAAGCAATTTCCACTAGTTTCTAAAATTCTTGCACAACATTTGATTGCACTTTATTTCTATGTAATTTCGAAATTCGTAAAATATAACGAGCTTAGTCATTTAAATTTGGGATTCATTTAATAGTAATTGGGCATTACAAACACTTGCTTTGGTAATTTTGTCAGTAATAGATCTATTTACTTAAAGAAAAGAATTAGTCCATGATAGAAAATGCACATCTAGCTAGTAGATGAAGTTACGTTCCTATAGCAAATTTATAAATAATTACAAGAGTTGATATGAATTAAAAGTCAATCAGGCTTTGTAGAGGGTCAATCCCAAGCTTTGTAAAGGATTAATCCCAAGCTTTGTAAAGGATCAATCCCAAGCTGTGGACGTGTGGTTATTTATTGTGCACATTGGTTGTAGTTTACTATTTAGCACAGTAACAAATACAATAAAATTAATTACATTGTGATGGAAATGTGTTCATTACTTGTATATAATGGACAAAGTTATCAACTTTTGATGGTTTGAAACTGGACCCAGCTCTTTTGGATCATTTTGTTCTTAATTGGTTCTGACTAATGAAACAGCTGGTATTAGTCAGTATCAAAGCTACACGAGCGTTCTCACTTAATTTTAAACTCATCCTTCACTCATATTTGGTTCAAATACGCATCTACTAGTAGGTGGCGTCCCCATCTCAATTGCTAATAATAGGCCTAAGATAATACATTATTTAAACAAAGTAAAAAGTTACAAGAACAATTCTAAATAGATAGAGTTCTGTTACCAGAGACAAATAAGCTATAAAATACTCGTATTTACCGGTAATGAACGTCAACAAAATTATATTATTTTTATAAAACCGCTCTTCTGCAATTTCTTTGTAAAAATATAAATGGTTCTTTAAGATAGCTCTCTTCTTAAATTTGCATTTTTAGTTCTATTTATAAAAGCCATTTGAAACGGGTATATTCTCTTAAGAGGTGATATGATATAGCGCTGCCATTGGCGTCGCTCCCTTTAGAAGTTGACGCCTCGCACGTAGTTTTAATCGTCTTATAATGGGCTCTACAGAATAGCAGAGGCGTAAATTTGACCTTACTTTCCGCAACGTGGGCTACTTACAGAATTACAGTATTACAATGTATGGTACATTAAAACCTTGGCACAAAAAAACAAGAATACATTTCTGATCAAACATGTACTTTTCAATTTGTGTGTAATTTTCTACTTAGTGTTGGTACATACTTATTGTTCGATTCTTATCATTCTTTATTATAAGTATCAACGTCAATAATACGTTTGAAAATAATACGTGATAATTTGATCATTTATTTAATGTTTTTGTCTTTAATCTTTTGGTTTAGTTAGTGTAAAATACTTGATTTTGGTTAGGATTAAAACATGATTAGTTTGTTATCTTCTTTTATCGTTCCTTTTTTACTATTAATTTTGAGGATACGTTATGTATATATAGCAGTTATACAGTTATATTAATCCAAAATAACTCAAATAAATTATAAGCTATTCTACTTGATCCAACAGTACTGTTTATAAAAAAGGAATAAACTCTCTAAAATAAACTACCCTGAGCCTATTAAATAAGAAAATACCAATTTTCGCTGAATGCAGCTATTCATCAATCAAATAATGATTTTGCTTTTGAATCTCAAATGTTTAAGAAATGCGGAGAAGCTAAAGTCACAAGCTTGGTCATCAAAAGCTTCTACACTTATATACTTTTTATTTATACATCGAGTTGTAGTTTAATGAAAGTGTGTGACCAGTTAGAAACGTGAAGGGAAGCGAACATTTACAAGTCAGTGTAGTTTTGGCTGAGAACTTTGGACGTAATCCGTTGGACTAATCAATAAGAAAGCTACCAGACCGAGTTGAAAGTAGCTCATTACAAGTTTTGCTTGGATGAATAAAAAGTTGGCATTTGATCGAATTTGAACGACCCAACTTTCTGTCATCACTATAGAAAATGTGCCTCAAGTTCGAAGGAAAAAATTATTTTTACAGTTATAAATATAAACTATACACACTGTATAAACTGTTCTGCATTTTGGCAAACTGTGTTAAATTATTTTACATGAACTCATTTTTACTATTCTGGTAAATCTTGCAAGGATTTTTTTATATTTTCGTTGCAATTTGATATTATTTCCAAACACTTTATCTCTCCTTTTAATAAGTAATCATTACGTCGCGTTGGTTAGTAGGTCTTTGACTTGATCGAGCTAATCAACCCACAGATATATCCACAAGTATACCGTGACCAATAATCAGCAGAATTAGTTGATTTTCTATTCTGTAAAGAGGATTACATTTAGGTTGATGAGGATGGTCTGATTGTTTCAAAATTACACATGTATCAGATGTTTTGGTTTCACCTGTTTTGTCTTTTATTCGTTCAACTTAACTTACTAGATATGTGTCTTATAAACATAAACATGCTGATTTAACAATGTTTTTCATATTTTTGGGACAAATGAGTGATCACTTAATAATGCGCACGCATTAAACTTGTCGTGGCCATCGTCTAAATTGATTCACGGTTGTTGACATGTAATGCGTGTGTAGGTGTGTTTGATTGTACGTTTCTGTCGACGTGTGAGTGAGTGAGATGTACAAGTACAATGGCAGCGAGAGCGAGAGTTTCGTGCGCCCTTGGCTTGGGTTAGGTTAGGTGCCGTACTTTCGCCGAGGCCGAGGTTCGCACGAATGTCTAGTGCAAGTATCAGAGTGTCTACAATTAAACCACATCGACACCGAGGAACCTTATCCGCTACAAATTGCTCCTTTCAGTCTGCTATTGTGTTACATCCTACCATTAGCTCGCCATTTCCGGGGAGCATCCATTTATTTATGTCATTTCATTCCTAGGTCTTGTAACTCGGCATCAAATACGACAACGAACATATTGACGAAATTGTGAAAGTAATCTACTTCACTTGGTTATAGGTAGTTGAATTTTAATTAGTTCTGAATATTTTCCATGCTAAATTTGTAAGTATGAATTTTGGGAATATATTATGGTCAAATTATTATATTATAAGTGTAAAACAACATTGTAAGTTACTTAATTTAGATCAGAAGATGGTTCCTATTTGTAACCATAACGCCATGCTTTGTTGTACCATAACAATATGGAAACGTTAGATGAACTGAGTAAGTATAAAGCACATTAATTTGTCAAAACCTCAAAACCTTTAAACCCCAGTATGTATCATCAGTAGAATTACCATTAGTAAAAAACGTATCGATGTATCATGTTAGTATGTAAAATATAAATTTTATTACGTACAAATAGAGTTGTTAGTCTATGTTAAAAGTTGATCAAATAATTTTATTCCTACAAGGATAACACGGCAACTTTGAAGGCACATGGAGGATAAACGTTCCATTTTATTTCTCAAACTCATTTCCTAGTAAGTATCTACGATTTGTAAGAGAACTGGTTTTCAAATTGTGTAGTAATACATTCGACACAAGGGTGTGTAAAAAAGAAGATATTTTTCGCTTACTTGCCAAATAAAATGTAAACTATTTCAGCTTGATGAACACGGAAGCGTTGGCTAGCCACCTGTTGGGTGAAACATGAATTATATTCGGGTGTAAGTGAAAAACAAATTGCTTAGCTAAGTAGTCAGACAACCAAAACACTGGCAGTTATATATTTCTCTCCACCATTTAACTTATATAACACTAGCGAAATAAGCAATTACATCGTAGCGTTAAACTAACCTCAGAGTCCTAACTTTTACGTGATACAGTCAGTGTACAATTTGAACGTACAGATTATTTTACAGTAAAAATGTGCAAATACCGTTCGTTCCTCGCTGGTTTCTTCCTCTTCAAACCGCTTGAGTGAAATGTGAGGAAAATGTTGCTACTTGCATTCAATTAAAATTTATACAGTAAAAGACTTGTAGATTCATGATACATACTGTAGACGACCCTTTCAAGGATTATTAGGACTTATACCAGAACAGCTTTATCCCAGGTAGCTTTTGTGTAACCTTCATTTTCCATGGTGAAGGATTTAAAAAGTGCTTACACATTTTATACTTTGAGCATTTACACATTTTAATTTATATACTTATACGAGGCTGATTTGAGTTAATTTATCATACAAACTTAACTTTTAGTTGCACAATAACAAACCTTGTTAGAAAAAATTGATTAATAAACCTTTTAAATACTAATCAAAACCTAAGATAGTCTCAGTAAAACGGATTAAAAATCTATATGTTAATAAGCAAGGATGTTTTTTTAAAACCTTTTTTCCCAGCTCGTGTGTATAGCAGGGGAAATCTACGTATACTGTTTGAAAGATATTTTCATGTAGATGTGCAGAATTCCTTTAAAAATTAAAATAGGATCAGAAACAAAATTAAATTAAATAAAAAAAATTAACTTTGGCCTTATGGGTTGACATGCTGGTGACGAAATATAAACAGATAATCAAAACAAATGGAAGAAATTCCAGTCATATATTTTATTTACAGCGTCTGGTGAAAATAGAGAAATCTGAACATTATTTTTTTTGTCTAGTTTTCAACTACTGGACGACCTCTAGTTCAAATGAAAAGTTGAGAAAAGGAATTGTCTCCCTGATCAAACCTTTTAAAGTAAAAACATCACTATCCATTAAAGTTTAAAACCATAGAAGTTTAAATGAACCTATTATTATTCATACCTAGACCTCAGAGAAACACCCTCTAGATTATGGACCTTGATCGTTCAGACTTGTTGTTGTCTGTGTTTGTCAATATAGGAAAAAGATTATATGAACATAAATTGAATTAATAATTCAAACTACTTTCAACTATTTTGGCAATTATTTTTTAACAAGACTTTTTAAATATTTTACTTACGGAAAGTTACACTCCAATTTGAAAAATTGGATCATAAAAACTATTAAGATTGTCAAATTATTTGATTTCTCGATACAATACATTTTAAACTAATTTCCTTGAAAAAAAAAAGTAAAAGGAATGCATAAAATATTTTTATATCATACTGAATTATTGTTTAATATCAAGAGCCATAATGGTTATAAATTCGAATAAACATGAACAAATTCTTTAAAGCTATTGCCGTAGTACTCATAGTAAGACCTGGACCCGGGACCGATTAACTTTTTTTGTTTTGAGGTCCCTAGAGGCCAAAAACACCATCCGTCCAAATTCATATATATATATATATATATATATATATGGGTGTGTGTGTTTGTTAGCACGATAACTCGAGCAAAAATGATGCGATTTTGGTGAAATTTGGTAAAAACGTGTAAACCTACATTTGTTCGAACGAGTTTGCAAACCAGCATGATCGGACTATGGGAACGGGGGCTTCCGTTTTAATGGGGTAAAAATTTGTTTTTACTATTTTTGACCCAAAAAACATAAAATTTAGCATTTTATTTCCAAACTATTTTGTAGAGCTTTAAAAAACTAATAATTTAGTATAATGAAGCGTTATTATGTTCCTACTTAACTGGTTACCAAGAAAATTTCCAAGAATTTTAAATTTAAAACTCCTCTTATGGAGAATAAGTAAACTGTTGTAATTTGCTTGTTTATAAAAATATTTGGATCAAATTTGGAAAATGCATTTGTTTCTTACTAAAATATTAACAAACAAAAACACTTTACCCTCCCTTTTGCAGAAAAACTAAGTACTCGTTCTATTTAAATAGGGAATACATATGATATATACTTAAGGAGACATTTTAGTGTAAATCCTATCAGGCAAATGGAAGTTCGCTTAGTCTGCAGGTTGCTGTGGCGGGGGTATTTTATAATAGTTTTTTTTGCAAATTCATAAAAATATCAGTCCATGTGATTTTGCAAAATATATTATAAAAATCAAAAAATTGACTAGAACTTACGTAAAAAATTGTAAACATCATAATTAATTTTAAAGGTGAAATCTATTTACGAATTTTAAAATGTATAATGATGCTGAAAGTTCAAACCACGTACACATATTTAGCTCTGACGCGTTGGGTGTTTTGAAACATCCCAAGACAAATTTAAATAATACAAAAGCTCAAACAAAAAAATTATGGTGAACAAATATTAAAATATTTTATATTTTATATTTTAAAGTATTATATAGTTCCAACAAGATTAAACACGCGAAAAGATTAAATTAAATAAATACAATTATTGGTGTACTGACCACGTGCAAGATGTGCAGAAGAGTGCCCATGTCGTGTGCAGAGAGCAGCCGACAACACACCAGACACTACACGTCTACGGCTCCTTGGGGAACGTTGATAACAACAACGGCACTTTCTTTTTATACCATCTCCCAGCATTAGCATGGAGGGGGTCGGGTATTTGGTAACTGGTAACTGGTGATAAACGGTAGGAATCGGCAACTCAATGACTGGTAAACGGTAACCGGTAACATATGGTTATACTGAAATCTGTAGGCTCTTTTGATGGATATCTCCACTATTTGATAAATTTCCGATAATATTGGCACGATTTCCGTTTATTAACCGATGCTAAAGCAAACAATTCATCCTTTTGTTAGGCTAGACAATGTTGATATACTGTAGCCTAAACCAACTAAAATAAGGGCAAAGATAAAATGATTATTTACATAGTTATAAAATTTTTTTTTTCAATGATGAAATAATAAAATAATTAGCCAAATGGAAATAATAACAGCCGAAGGAAGCTGAAAAGTTATTAAAATATTAAAATCAGCCTAAGCCATAGGAACTATTGCTTTTATCTGCTACAAATTATATCTTATACGGAGTTATAGGGAAGATCACGAGCATCTGCCAAACACTATATCGGTCAGTTAGTTATATTAGTTTCACCTACTGATTATATCTTATACAGAGTTATAGGGAAGATCACGAGCATCTGCCAAACACTATATCGGTCAGTTAGTTATATTAATTTCACCCACTGATTATATCTTATACAGAGTTATAGGGAAGATCACGAGCATCTGCCAAACACTATATCGGTCAGTTAGTTATATTAATTTCACCCACTGATTATATCTTATACAGAGTTATAGGGAAGATCACGAGCATCTGCCAAACACTATATCGGTCAGTTAGTTATATTAATTTCACCCACTGATTATATCTTATACAGAGTTATAGGGAAGATCACGAGCATCTGCCAAACACTATATCGGTCAGTTAGTTATATTAGTTTCACCTACTGATTATATCTTATACAGAGTTATAGGGAAGATCACGAGCATCTGCCAAACACTATATCGGTCAGTTAGTTATATTAGTTTCACCTACTGATTATATCTTATACAGAGTTATAGGGAAGATCACGAGCATCTGCCAAACACTATATCGGTCAGTTAGTTATATTAATTTCACCCACTGATTATATCTTATACAGAGTTATAGGGAAGATCACGAGCATCTGCCAAACACTATATCGGTCAGTTAGTTATATTAATTTCACCCACTGATTATATCTTATACAGAGTTATAGGGAAGATCACGAGCATCTGCCAAACACTATATCGGTCAGTTAGTTATATTAGTTTGACCCACTGATTATATCTTATACATAGTTATAGGGAAGATCACGAGCATCTGCCAAACACTATATCGGTCAGTTAGTTATATTAATTTCACCCACTGATTATATCTTATACAGAGTTATATAGGGAAGATCACGAGCATCTGCCAAACACTATATCGGTCAGTTAGTTATATTAATTTCACCCACTGATTATATCTTATACAGAGTTATAGGGAAGATCACGAGCATCTGCCAAACACTATATCGGTCAGTTATTTATATTAGTTTCACCCACTGATTATATCTTATACAGAGTTATATAGGGAAGATCACGAGCATCTGCCAAACACTATATCGGTCAGTTAGTTATATTAGTTTCACCTACTGATTATATCTTATACAGAGTTATAGGGAAGATCACGAGCATCTTCCAAACACTATATCGGTCAGTTAGTTATATTAATTTCACCCACTGATTATATCTTATACAGAGTTATAGGGAAGATCACGAGCATCTGCCAAACACTATATCGGTCAGTTAGTTATATTAGTTTCACCCACTGATTATATCTTATACAGAGTTATAGGGAAGATCACGAGCATCTGCCAAACACTATATCGGTCAGTTAGTTATATTAGTTTCACCCACTGATTATATCTTATACAGAGTTATAGGGAAGATCACGAGCATCTGCCAAACACTATATCGGTCAGTTATTTATATTAGTTTCACCCACTGATTATATCTTATACAGAGTTATAGGGAAGATCACGAGCATCTGCCAAACACTATATCGGTCAGTTAGTTATATTAGTTTGACCCACTGATTATATCTTATACAGAGTTATAGGGAAGATCACGAGCATCTGCCAAACACTATATCGGTCAGTTATTTATATTAGTTTCACCCACTGATTATATCTTATACAGAGTTATAGGGAAGATCACGAGCATCTGCCAAACACTATATCGGTCAGTTAGTTATATTAGTTTCATCCACTGATTATATCTTATACAGAGTTATAGGGAAGATCACGAGCATCTGCCAAACACTATATCGGTCAGTTATTTATATTAGTTTCACCCACTGATTATATCTTATACAGAGTTATAGGGAAGATCACGAGCATCTGCCAAACACTATATCGGTCAGTTATTTATATTAGTTTCACCCACTGATTATATCTTATACAGAGTTATATAGGGAAGATCACGAGCATCTGCCAAACACTATATCGGTCAGTTATTCATATTAGTTTCACCAACTGATTTATACTCGTATCTGAAAGTTAACCTTCTCATTGATTTATGTAGGGATCATAACATTTGAAACATAACTTGATATCAATAAACGCAGCTTTTAAAGTAAACAAACCAAATAACTCAAGGCATGAACATTGACTTGTTTTCTATTGGTGTATTTACACTATAAGGTTTATGCTAAACTCTGATACAGCTGCAGGTGTGTAACACTTTATGACAAGCCCTTTAGTAATATTTAACATAAATGGGTTATATCATGTATTGAAAGTGAATATTGCAAGGCTACCAAGTGTAATCTTTATACGAGAAGTATACAAATCTACGACACAGACAGACTAGTTAAAGGCGATGATGAATGAAGGATTAATGACGTGAAAGCTTCGTTACTGAGTAAGAGTTAAGATCAGCTGACTGTTTAGCCAAGATCACTTATAAAAAGCTCAATGAGGAGCTTGGACAGGCTGCGTTCATTTTCATTTTCATTGTCATTGTCATTGTGTGTATCTAACATTCATTTGAATCGAACCGACAACCAAAGAGCTCTCTAAATATTATCCTTCCCAGCTATATAAAAATATAGGGTTGGTTGAACAATATTTTAAAATTTCAACAATAAACAAAGCATTTTATAATACAGTAATGCTGAATTGTCAGTAGCAGTGCATGTCTTGATTTGATATTGTAATGTATAGGTTGATGATTCATTTTATTAAGGTTGGATTTATTTTTACTTGTGTTTTTAATATACTTCGAAGAACGCAAAAAATATTACGATACTTATTATAACAAGGATTTATTGCATTTTGGATTTCTCGAATTGTTCCTACGAGTACGGCGACAAACACTGCACAATTCAATTGGGTAGACAATATTACGGTAGTAGTAAATGTTGCTTGACAAAAAAGGGAAATTTGTTCCTATATTTTTTATGATTATAGTTTTTGAACTGTCCCCTGGGCTTAGCTTTTTTAAATATATCATTTAAAGGGGGTGTAATGTTTTATTAACAAGTAATAAATAATAAATTATGAAATAAATATACGCTGTTTGTTTTCATTTTTGTAACTAATGATAACTTAACACAAATAAAACTATTCTACATTGGAGAATGATTACTATAAACGGTTGAATAACATGGCCCAAATTAATTTATCCTTTTGAAACACATGTATAAAAAAATTATGGAATAACATTCTTATGCTCTATCTCATTCATTAAGATATATACGAAACAATCCAAACTGTACTCAAATAAAGTAAGCTATAAATCTTTCCAAAAGTGTTTGTTTTTAAATACCAATTGTATCAATGCAACAACTCATCGTAGACTGATTCAAACTTTTATTCAAAGGTGTTATTATAATAAGTTTATACTAATCCGTATAATGGCTGTATTGTATGCTACCAAATAGCATAACACATTTTATTCAGCTTTCATACCATAAATGCGGCTTATGCATATACACACGACCAACCGTATACGCAGGAAACTATGTGTAATTCTTGTGAATGAAAAACCTGTTGGCCTCTGACCTGTACATGCAGAATAAACGCTTAACTATCTCTAGCTTTTACAGCTACATATGTTGTAGTTAGGTAACACGATAGAGGATAATAAACTTCATATAAGATGTACCCTAAATGTAAATAGAATGCATTGTAGTAAAACTACTTTGCGTTTATTTATGTGTGACTGTATGATCTCTCTATGTGTCTACCTAGATACTTAATACAACAAGTGGTGTCTCTGTTAAATCCCTTTTACAGCTGGCCTATATAACAGATTTTACGACTAAGGTGTAATATTAAAGCTTGCGTTCTATGAGAGAGATGAATTATAACTTAAAAATTAACTCCATTCAATTAAAAGAGGCTTCGCCGTACTAGACGTTTGATTTATTTAGAGTCCACATTCAAAGATTCAGTGATGCTGACCAACATTCTTTATATTGGTTCAAAGTGAACAGCTGATCCTTTAGTTAATGTTTGACCCTAGTCTGATTAGTACAAAAGACAATAGTTTGTGTAAATAGATTTTAAAAAGACTACTTTTTGTATAACTGTTATAGATTGATGTAGGAAAATCAATTCTTCATAATTTAAAAATCAATTGTTTTAAATTAGTACTTTATTCAGCTAATAAACATCTAACAAAATAAAATTTTTTTGAAAAATAAAGGAGTTTATTACTGTACCACTGGACTCTTTACCACGAAAACGGGTTTCGAACCCTAATAAATAAGCAATATGTGCACGGCTTTTCTCGTTATAATTTTAATGTAAACTTAAAATCGTCCACAAAATTCCACTAAAAGGGTTTAGAAATACACATCAAAAATACATCACCAGGTAAGTGAATCTTACTCTCATTTCTAAAATTAAATTCAGGATGCTTTCAACTGCTATTCCTGATTTTTACCCTCTGTTTGCTTCTCCAAATTGGTAAGCGGCTTACCTGAAGAGCAAAACATTAAGTAATTGACATCC